AACACTTGCATTCCTCAAGACCGACAAGTACTTTATCCGCACCTTCCCAAATAATATGTTTCAATTGATTTGATTTCAATTTTAATTTACATTAATTAATTTTGATTTTATTTTTAATCTTAGCTATGATTTCAGTTTTTGTTTCGATATAAAGAACAGAGTTTTAAAATTTTAATTTAATTTTAAATTTAAGTTAAATATTTTTAAAATTTAATTATTATTTTTTGTTTTAATTAACTGACTACCTAGTTACGTATAAATACAGACGATAACTTAACAACACTGAGTGGCAGTTGCGATTAAGAGTCCCGCTCGGGCGGAGTATTTTTTTCATAAAATTCTAGTCCGATAGGTTCGATAATTCGGCAGATCATCTGGCTTTAAAACTATTTTTGATTGGTCCCACATCTTCCTAATTTTTAAGCACGTGGAAATGACCAAAAAAGTGAGAAAAGTGAGGATATTTCAGAAAAGTGAGAATAAGTGAGAAAAGTGAGCGACTCCGAGGCCTGATAATACCAAAAGAGTAGACTCATCACAATTTATAAAAAAAAGCACACAAAAACAGCCTGTCTTTAGTTTACCTGTTGCAGAGGGATGCTGCATCACTAGAGATGACTTCACATTGCAATTGAAGACCATATGAACAACTAACTGAGTTTGAGAAGAGAAAGATCGTTGACTTGAGAGAAGCTGAATAGCCCGCCACTGACGAATAGCACAAATAGCCACCACCATTCTGACAACACTGTGAGATGTTGGGACCAGTGGATGAGAGGGAGCTCTGGCACACAATGTCCAAGCTTGGGATGTCTTCTGCAGATCACTAGCAGAGAGGACTGCCCGGCCCTCTAACACACATGTACAGTACAGTACACAGCCAACCATAGCATTGATCTCATAACAGTAAATACCAACAAATTATACAGAAACTATACAGTTCTGTTATTAATTTATTTACATTTTGAAAAAGAATAAACTTAATTTTTGCCATAAAGTGAGAGTAATTTTAACTGTAAGTTCTTATTTACAAAATACACCATGATAAAGTTAAATTTGATGCATTCACTTGCATTTAAATTAAAGAATGATATACAAAATTACACTTACTATTTCATCACCAGGTTTGCAATAATCGCATAAATCACCCAAAAGTATCGCTTCTTTTGATCGAGGCAATCTACCAGCAGCCACTTTGCCGGGACTCTCTTGTATGGTGATGCGTTGGTAATTTTGATAAACAGTCTGAAAATCAACATTATATATTGAATAACATATTTAAAGAGATTAAATTTTCAGATGTTCTGAGATCCAATTTTGAATATTTGGTCATTAATCAGTTTACATTCTTATTAAAAGCCTAAAAATTATTTTAAAGAGTACAAAGACTAAATGTTACATTTTACTATTAAATTTCATTCTTTTAATTAAAATAAACATTGTTTTGAAGTTATTTTTAACCTCACCTCTTCCATATTAATTTGGAAAGGTCCTGAACTCTGACATTCAGGACAGGACCCTGGTTTGACTTCCTGGTTCTGTGTCTGAACATATGGGCCAAGTACATAATTACATTTTGTACAGTCATATTTCACCAGAGACAATTGAGGCAGAATGCCGGTGGTCGTCGTCACAACGCCACTTGTTCGGATCAACTGATTCAAATGCAACTGCCTAAAAATATCAAATTTACCTTCACACAAAATGACTCCAACACAAAACCCTATTCTTTAACTCATTAACTAAAACAACTTACTAACCTCAAACTCCTTATTTCTTCAATTAGAGGAAGATCAGTGATTCGTACGTGAATGTCCTTGGCAATTCGTTCGTACTGGGGAAACATACCAAGCACGACATCCTTGGCTGTTTCATCAAATATCTGCAGCATTTCTGTTGGGGCTTCAGGAAGAAAGTATGCCAGGACCTGTTCTTCAGAAGCGATGGCATTGTAATCAACTTCAAAGCTCTGTCTGTTTTCTGCCAATAATTATAGTATATTACATTTTAAAATTAAATTATTTATATATATGAATGAGACAAACATTTTAGATGAGAGAAACTTGTACGTTTATTAACATAGTAGACTTAATACATGTTTCTGTTACTATTTATTATGGAAGCCAAATCCAGTTAATCTTAACTGGGAATGTTTTCAACCCTCTTTAGATCAACTTCAGCTAAACATGACTGGTGTCTGTCAAAAGGGAATCATATAAAACAAAAACGCAGCAGTATGTGGATAATGCAAATGCGATCTCTTTAGATAAAAACCTCTCAGACCAAATTGTTAGTAAGACATACAATGCATTGAATAACAAATGTCACCCTAGCTTCTTGAAGGAAAAAGCCAATTCAAAAAATTAGAACAAGTTCAACACAATAATAACTAAAGAGTGATTATTTATTGTGACATCAAGCTGCAATTTTTAATCATATTTTTAATTTATTTAATTTAAAACACAATGGGTGATCAGTTAACGAACAGTTCAGATAGCAAACACTTTCACAACAGCTTTTTATGATCGGACAACGAACACATGTTTGGATAACAAACACTTCATCAAACACACATAAAAAGAAGTGACGGAAAATAACAAATACTGATTGATTTTCCCTTGTCTTCAGGTAACAATTCAAAACCTTTTGGAGTACGGAGACATCAATATCGATGCTCAACCCGATACCGATCGGATAGTATTTAACTGAACTTTAAAACTCTCCATTGTAATTCCACCTTTTCTGTTTACTTTTCTGACAGATAATTTTTTATAGTCTTTGCGAGACTGTCAAACACTTGTTAAGTTTTGCATCATTTTTATTTTTTAATGGTGAGAGTTTAACTGTCCAACTGGATATTTGTTAATGATTTAACACCAAAATTTCAAATTTCATTCAGGCCTCACATTTACATAATTCTTTCGTGCACTAGTTGATTTCTGTTCTCTCAATTTTTGTGAGTGCTTTTATGAACTTTTCATGCCTAAAAAGAGTGGAGTGTCAAGATCCATGCTCACCAATGAAACCAAGCAAAATATAATAGCCAAAGTAGAGAGTGAACACAAGATGTCTGACATTGCTAGGCAGTACGGCTTGAACAGGTCTACAGTAGGCTAAAAAATATAAGCAAGAAGACTCAAGAAGCTAAAGAAGTAATGAAAATCACATCTGAGAAACAAAGATGTTCCATCCATGAAAAATGGAAAGATTGCTTTTAATTTGAATAAAAAAAGAGAAATGAAAAAAGATGTAACTAGTATGAAGTTAAAGAAAGGTAGAGAAATTTTTGAAGAACTGAAGAAATAAACTCCACATTCATCACATGAAGAGAGAGAATTCAAAGCTACCACTGGATGGTTTGAATTCTATAGAATAGCTGAGAAGTTCTGTCTCAAATTTGAAGAATTCATTAAAAAGAAGGATACTGTCCACAACAAATTTTTAATTGCGATGAAACTGGTTTATTTTGGAAGCGCATGCCAAACCATACCTATATCACAAAAGAAGAGAAAAATATTCCTGGGCATAAACCCATGAAAGACCAATTGATGTTACTTTTGGGAGCTAATGCTAGCGGTGATACGAAGCGTAGCCTGCTTCTTGTCTATCACTCTGAGAACCCTAGAACATTCAAAAATAATTCCATAATTAAAGAAAGACTGCCAGTTATGTGGAAATCAAATAAAGGGCATGGGTCATGCAGGCTCTTTTCAAAGAATGGCTATTTGAAGTTTGTGCGCCAAGCATAAAGGATTACCTTCAGACCAACAAATTGCCATTAAAATTGTGCTATTGGACAATTAGGACACTAGGACACTAGGCTATTTTTGACAAATTTTAGACAAATTGTGCTATTGGACACTAGGACACCAAACAACCTTGAAAATAATTTGCTGGAAGACTATCCCTGGCTGACAGTTCAGTTTCTGCCTCTGAATACCACTTCACTAATTCAACTAATGGATCAAGAGGTATTGCAGGTTTCAAGAAATTGTACATTTGAGCACTGTTTCGTTGGTGTTTTGAATGCCAGTTCTCATCAATGATGACATTAAAAACGTTTTGGCAAGAAAAATTTGATATTGAAGCTATACGGCTCATTCAAAAGGCATAGTCAGAAGTCACTCAAAGACAGTTGGATTCTCTTGGCAAAAGCTGTGTCCCTCCTGCATTCAAGAAGACAGAGATGATGTCCATGAAATTATGGATGAAATTGTGACAACTGCTAGAGATCTGGAATTGAAGGTAAATAAAGATGACATTGAACAGCTCATAACGGAATCTGAAACTGATCTCATGACAGAAGAACTCCAAGAACCCTTGAATGAAGAATACCAAGAAACTCAGCGAGACATATTTTCTCCTGAAAAAAGTGGAAAATGAAAGAGGATTAATGTTCAACATCTGTTATTAAAGATCTTTTAAAGAAGTGGGGAGATGTCAGAACAACGATTTTAGAATGGCATCCAAACCAAGTTGAGGTTAATAAGCTTGCGGATCTCTACAATTACAGTGGGTGATCAGTTAATGAACAGTTTGGTTAATGAACAAATTGGATAACAAACACTTTCACGAAAGATTTTTATGTTTGGACAATGAACACCTCACAGAACAAACACAAGAAGAAGCAACATAAAATAATGAATACTGTTTGGTCTTCCCTTATCTTTGGGCAACAATTCAAAACTATTTGGAGAGCAAGAGACGTCGACATCAATGCTTGACCCTGTATACACAGATTGGATAGTATTCCTCCGAACTTTGAAACTCTTCCTTGTAATTCCAGCATTTTATTTTTCTGACAGAAACAATTATTTTATAGTATTCGTGAGACTGTTGGGCAGGCACTCATTAAGTTTTGTGTCAGTTTTTATTTTCAAAATGTGAGAGTATAATAGCATCCAAACCAGGTTGAGGTTAATAGGCTTGGGGATCTCTACAATTACAATAGCAAACAAAGTCTTGGAATGGATTATTAACCGATCACCCAATGCATATACTCTCCACCTCAAATTAATACTGTAGTGTATTGCCCCTGTACATCATACTTTTCTGTTAGCAATGCAGTCATGCCAGTCATCCAACTAACTAACTCCTTTCAGGGAAAAATTTTTGAATTGAAATAACTTGACTTCTGGAAGTTCTTATATAGTTAATTGGGGTCTCCTGCTCCTAAGCTTTCCATATCTGGTCTTGAATTTCATTTATCTAACACTTTTCTCGAAATTAACAAAAAGACAGATGGCAAATGAACAACACTAGGAATTCATAGGTCTACAATTTTTCAAATTGCAGCTGAATAACACTTTCCAGCAAAGATTTAATTACTGGACAAACATTTTTGCTCTATTTATAAACCTGCTTCAGGTCTACACAATAACTTTCTATTGTTTTAGAATTGGAATGTTACTTTGTTCTATGGCTTTATTTTTGGATGTTTAAATTAAAATATATAATGTCCTAAAAAGGGTTAAAACCATTCCCAATTAAGAAAATTAACTGGATTTATCTTCCATAATAAGCAGTAATAGAAACATATATTGGTAGTGGTGCCAAGATTCAGACTGTAACAACAGTAGACTTCTCATAATCTTATTATCTAAACAACTTTACAAGCATTAGAAAGCAATAAGCTTTAAAATCATGCTCCAATGCTTGTAAAGTTGTTTAAATAATTATGTAATTAGTTTAAAACCTTCTTTAATGTAATTTTTCAATCTAAAGGCATCAATCAACCTTCTCAATTGGAGTCTTCCTCCATTGTAATACCTTCTATTTCTTTTCTTCTGAAGAAAAAGTATAACAAATAAATTTCTGAAGGTCAAAATAAAATATAATCTCATTCTTTACTGAATGAAGATACTCTTCAATTAAGGAAGATTTAGACCAAAAATACTTCAGAGTATCAAGAGCATTTTTGACTATGTTTAAAATATAGCAAGTTAAACCTAGATATTACAACTGAAGAATCAATTCTATTTCTATTTCTATCTAAAAAATCAATTCTATTCTATTTTTCTTTGTTTTGCAATTTGAATAAATGTAGATTCTAACAACAAGAAACAAAATCTACAAAACTTCTTAATAAATTTGACATTTTAACTTCTCAAAGTTATATTCTATAATCAATTTTCTTAAAGTTGAGTTTGTTTTTCATTTGACAAGCAACATCTTTACAGCTTTTTTCCTTCAACAAAGACATAATTTCAATTTGAGTTATCAAAGACTTGGATTTTTAATGTGCATCATAAGTTCTAGGTTTAACTACCTAGTTAATGTCTTAAATAATATTTAGCAATTCTACATTATTGATTATCAATAAAATCATATTGACTTGTTTTTATTAACTATAAAACACAATATGCAAGATTTACCTTCACACATCTGTCTGATCTTCTCTCTGTACAAATTGTGTCCCCTGCTGTCTACAAAAGTTCGAAGGAAATTCTTGAATCTGTTATAAATCTCCGTGCGGGGCCCGATCATCGAAACCCATTCTCTTACAGTGTGGCCTCTCATGTCTTCCAAATTTTCAATACTTTCAATCATCTGTATAAAAAAGTATTTACATAATTTGTAATAATAAAAGTTGCTAATAAATAAATAAAATAATCAATGATTTTGCTGAATTTTAAACAGATTTGACTTCTATTAAAATATTTTCTCTAGCTCTCAAGTTGAGATTATAATTTTGAGATAAACTGAGTATCTAACTCTTAATGAGAACAACCTTAATGCAAGAATACCTAAATTTTGTATCCTTCTAAACTATTCTCACACATGTATACAATTGTTAGTGTCCAAAAATTTAAAAATGAATTCTTTCAAAAATAAATAAAGCTTTATGAATAATTCTTGGCATGTTTTCATTTGGAGAAAATCCCTCCAACATTAGAGAAAGGTAGACTTAGTAGTTATGATATGCTGATCAAAGGTGTAAGGTCTCATTTTGTTTAAATTAGTGGCAGCGCTGTTGTTGCCGCAGTTCGCCATGTTGTTTTCTGTTGTTTGTTCTTATCGCCGCAAGTTAAAGTTGGTAAGCATCAAATATTAAATTATTCATTAATTAGTTGCATTATATTCGTTTATTAATTCATAACGTTGTCACTCGACGCCGATCCAAACCTTATATGGCGCAGTCGACAGTGGAAAGAACATTTCATTAACAAAATTGTTAATATTAAACTTTTAGAACTTCGTTTCAACGGTCGCCATTAACGACGAGCAAAAATCAAGAGTTTAGATTGTTCAAACGTATTAAACAAAAGATATCAATTCATAGAAGTTATAAATTCGAAGAAGTAGATTATTACTAATATCGTAAATTCTAAATTGAAAAAGAATTAATTTTAACGTTGGAATTTGCTCGCCATTACGTAGGCCTGACACTCTTCAGTCGTTTCTCGCCAAGAACGCTAAATAGATCTCGCCAAGATCGGTCGCCTATCGACACGAGCATTTGTTATAAATTCGCATTTCCGGTGAAAGTTGAAAACTTCGCTTCAGAATTATGACAACCATAAACGACGAGTTGAACTCTTTAACGTCAGAAGATATAAAACACTTTACTGTCGCCCAGTTGAAAGCCGATTTACGTTTGCGGAATCTTTCTCTTGTTGGAAGCAAAGACTGTTTAATTTCTCGCATCGTGGATGATAATATAAAAAGAAAACAGCAGGGAAATTTAGACGAACTCGCTACTCTTAGGATGCGATCGAGTGACAAAGATGACGACGCTAAAATAATTCCTGACAGCGCAGAATTATTAAAACAAATCCAACTGTTACAAAAACAAGTCGAAACCCTAAATAATCGCAACGATACGCCACAAATTCCTGCACCTACTTCGCAACTGGATCCTAATATTGCCGCAGTCCTGACTACGCTAATGGAATCTCAAAAACAGTTGATTGAGAGACAAATAAATTCGCCAAGTACTATTCAAATCACGTCAACTAATGACACGGCAAATTCCATTCCGATATTTCGTGGTGATATGATTGATAATGCGCTCGAGTGGCTAAAAGAAGTTGAAAGAATTTCAACATTGGCAAACTGGACTGATGAACTCAAATTGACTAATACTATCTCACGTCTCGCTGGATCTGCTAGAAATTGGCAATTAACTCAAGGTAACCGTTACAATAATTGGATAGAATGGAAAGTTGCCCTTACATCAAGATTTAAAAGACGTATTACTATGCAAGAATTTTTAGCTTATCAAGCTGATCGGAAACTAAAAAGGAACGAAAGCTTGGTTGATTACATATATGCCAAAGACGCTCTCTTGGAAAAAGCTCCTTTTACTATCCCACAGCCAGATCGAATTTCAATGATCATTGGTGACATCACTGAAGAAAAATGGCAGATTGCCTTAGCTACACAGAACTCTAATACTGTCGAAGAGTTAATTGACAGAGCAATGGCACTTGATGCAATTCGAAACATGCAGCACGAATATAAATCACGCCAACCTTACGGATCACGCCCATCACCGAAAATTACACCAATATCTTCAAATCCGTATAATGAACAACTTCGCAAGTATAACCCTGAAACCGATGATCTTCGCGATATCACCTGTTGGAGATGTGGAACCAGAGGTCACGCATCGTTCATGTGCAGTTTACCGCCTCCTCAAAAAGGTTCACCAATTGCTCGCCCAAAAAATTCACCGAGTCGTTTTGAAGAAATTCAGAACCGTCAAACGAACGATTCTTCTCAGCATATCGAAAACACAACTAATCCCAATAATTCATCACCACATGGCATTACAGGCCCAAAGTTTACAGATTTACGTCGCAATACTAAACGAAATTCAGCAACACGACCAGAGCCTAAAAGAGCAAATGACTCTAACTCTATAAACTGCATTAAGACCGATATAAAAAAACGTGCCTTAATACCTGCTACCATTAACAATCAAACCGAAGTTCAAGCACTCTGTGATCCATGCGCAGATATCACAGTTATTCAACAATCGTGCGTTCCACCTGATTGTGTCATTCATCCGTGGACTGATGGTGAATTCCAAGTTGTTGATCACGAAATAAAGCCCATAGGTTGGATATCCTTAAATATTAAGATTGGAAACATTGATCATCTAATGCCAAAAATTGGAATTTGCAAACAACTTCCATTTTCGTTAATCCTAGGATTCGACTGGCAACAACAAGTTCAAGCCAGATGCACTTACGATCCTAACGGCTCATTATGTATCTCTACACCATCTGCACTTCATCTGTACGAATGTATTCACGCGTCTAAAAACAGTATCAGCTGTATTTCTTCAAATGATATCTCATTACCGCCATTAGATGATGTTACTTTACCAACAGTAGTGCCAAATTGTTTTAGTCCCCAAACGCAATTAATTCCAAAATCCACAGGATTATCAAAGGAACAGCAAATTCAACTCGATGCCGTTATTGGAACATTTGCCGACGTCTTCTATTCTGAAGATGACAACATTGGATTGTGTCCATACGTGGAATTCACAGTAGATTTACAACACGACAAACCCCTTAGGTGCCGACCGTACCGCCTCACGGAGCCCGATCGCCAGTTTATGAAGACTCAGATTCAAAAATGGATAAAACAAGGAATTTGTCGCCCTTCCCAATCACCTTACGCAGCGCCTGCCTTCATTGTGGAACAGCCCTTTCATGAAAGTACCCCAAGAAGAATTGTTGTAGATTTTTCACGCACGATTAACAGTATCACCAAGATCGACCCTCACCCGATCGACCGAATGGAAGATGTTATTAAACGCACAGTAGGTAAACTCTACAATTCAAAGATAGACGTCAAGTCTGCATTTAACACAATTCGCATAAAAGAAAGTGATATTTACAAAACTGGTTTTGTTACTCCCGACGGACATTTTGAATTTCTTCGCATGCCATTTGGAGTTACCAATGGACCATCAACGATGACGAGAGCCATTAAATTAGCTTATGACCATTTAGCCCAGTTTAATGTAAATACATATATTGACGACATTTCAACATCGCATAATGATTTCAGATACCACCTAAAAGTGCTTTATAAAATCCTCGAAGCAACTCGCAGTGCTGGCTTTAAGTTGACACCAGAGAAATCTCAATTTGCAGCGTCAGAAATCTCTCTTTTTGGTAGAATTCTTTCCCAACGTGGTGAACGCCCTGATCCAGGACGCACAGCAGCAGTTGAACGTTACGTAACTCTGAAATCGATTCATGAAGTTAGAAGCTTCCTTGGCTTTGCCAATCAGTTTAGAATACATTTCCGCAATTATGCTGTTATTGCAAATTTTATTGACGATACTCCTCATGAAGTTCAGTTAGACCTTTTAAAATTAGCCAGGGCCGAAGCCGCCAACAATGTGTACGAAACACACTTAGATAACAAAAGGAGATTTGATCTACATTGCCAACCCCATTTGTTTAAGCCTGGAGATCTCGTCTTATACGACTGGCCGAAACAACACGATCATAAACTCTCGCCAATGTTCAAGGGACCATTCGAGATTGTTCGTCCAGTCGGGGCCGTATGCTACGAGATCACATCGCTCACAGCACAAAGAAAGTTTCAGAAGGTCGTTCATGTGCAACATCTTCGTCCATATTACAAGCGAGATGCGCCAGTCCTCGAAGAAGACGTAAGCTCCGAGGAAGAAGAACCGGAAGTGGAAGTTCAGGATCAGGTAGATGATCGCTCAAAGGTACTTGACCAAAATGACCAAGAATCAAGTAGACATGACAGACGTCGCAACCGTCACCCTCCCAAAAGACTTGAACAATAACTTTTAGACCTTACGTGTTACGCTTCAATTCTAAATTTGTACCTTGTCCTGAATTTCTCATTGAGCGGGGCCGAATGTAAGGTCTCATTTTGTTTAAATTAGTGGCGGCGCTGTTGTTGCCGCAGTTCGCCATGTTGTTTTCTGTTGTTTGTTCTTATCGCCACAAGTTAAAGTTGGTAAGCATCAAATATTAAATTATTCATTAATTAGTTGCGTTATATTCGTTTATTAATTCATAACGTTGTCACTCGACGCCGATCCAAACCTTATATGGCGCAGTCGACAGTGGAAAGAACATTTCATTAACAAAATTGTTAATATTAAACTTTTAGAACTTCGTTTCAACGGTCGCCATTAACGACGAGCAAAAATCAAGAGTTTAGATTGTTCAAACGTATTAAACAAAAGATATCAATTCATAGAAGTTATAAATTCGAAGAAGTAGATTATTACTAATATCGTAAATTCTAAATTGAAAAAGAATTAATTTTAACGTTGGAATTTGCTCGCCATTACGTAGGCCTGACACTCTTCAGTCGTTTCTCGCCAAGAACGCTAAATAGATCTCGCCAAGATCGGTCGCCTATCGACACGAGCATTTGTTATAAATTCGCATTTCCGGTGAAAGTTGAAAACTTCGCTTCAGAATTATGACAACCATAAACGACGAGTTGAACTCTTTAACGTCAGAAGATATAAAACACTTTACTGTCGCCCAGTTGAAAGCCGATTTACGTTTGCGGAATCTTTCTCTTGTTGGAAGCAAAGACTGTTTAATTTCTCGCATCGTGGATGATAATATAAAAAGAAAACAGCAGGGAAATTTAGACGAACTCGCTACTCTTAGGATGCGATCGAGTGACAAAGATGACGACGCTAAAATAATTCCTGACAGCGCAGAATTATTAAAACAAATCCAACTGTTACAAAAACAAGTCGAAACCCTAAATAATCGCAACGATACGCCACAAATTCCTGCACCTACTTCGCAACTGGATCCTAATATTGCCGCAGTCCTGACTACGCTAATGGAATCTCAAAAACAGTTGATTGAGAGACAAATAAATTCGCCAAGTACTATTCAAATCACGTCAACTAATGACACGGCAAATTCCATTCCGATATTTCGTGGTGATATGATTGATAATGCGCTCGAGTGGCTAAAAGAAGTTGAAAGAATTTCAACATTGGCAAACTGGACTGATGAACTCAAATTGACTAATACTATCTCACGTCTCGCTGGATCTGCTAGAAATTGGCAATTAACTCAAGGTAACCGTTACAATAATTGGATAGAATGGAAAGTTGCCCTTACATCAAGATTTAAAAGACGTATTACTATGCAAGAATTTTTAGCTTATCAAGCTGATCGGAAACTAAAAAGGAACGAAAGCTTGGTTGATTACATATATGCCAAAGACGCTCTCTTGGAAAAAGCTCCTTTTACTATCCCACAGCCAGATCGAATTTCAATGATCATTGGTGACATCACTGAAGAAAAATGGCAGATTGCCTTAGCTACACAGAACTCTAATACTGTCGAAGAGTTAATTGACAGAGCAATGGCACTTGATGCAATTCGAAACATGCAGCACGAATATAAATCACGCCAACCTTACGGATCACGCCCATCACCGAAAATTACACCAATATCTTCAAATCCGTATAATGAACAACTTCGCAAGTATAACCCTGAAACCGATGATCTTCGCGATATCACCTGTTGGAGATGTGGAACCAGAGGTCACGCATCGTTCATGTGCAGTTTACCGCCTCCTCAAAAAGGTTCACCAATTGCTCGCCCAAAAAATTCACCGAGTCGTTTTGAAGAAATTCAGAACCGTCAAACGAACGATTCTTCTCAGCATATCGAAAACACAACTAATCCCAATAATTCATCACCACATGGCATTACAGGCCCAAAGTTTACAGATTTACGTCGCAATACTAAACGAAATTCAGCAACACGACCAGAGCCTAAAAGAGCAAATGACTCTAACTCTATAAACTGCATTAAGACCGATATAAAAAAACGTGCCTTAATACCTGCTACCATTAACAATCAAACCGAAGTTCAAGCACTCTGTGATCCATGCGCAGATATCACAGTTATTCAACAATCGTGCGTTCCACCTGATTGTGTCATTCATCCGTGGACTGATGGTGAATTCCAAGTTGTTGATCACGAAATAAAGCCCATAGGTTGGATATCCTTAAATATTAAGATTGGAAACATTGATCATCTAATGCCAAAAATTGGAATTTGCAAACAACTTCCATTTTCGTTAATCCTAGGATTCGACTGGCAACAACAAGTTCAAGCCAGATGCACTTACGATCCTAACGGCTCATTATGTATCTCTACACCATCTGCACTTCATCTGTACGAATGTATTCACGCGTCTAAAAACAGTATCAGCTGTATTTCTTCAAATGATATCTCATTACCGCCATTAGATGATGTTACTTTACCAACAGTAGTGCCAAATTGTTTTAGTCCCCAAACGCAATTAATTCCAAAATCCACAGGATTATCAAAGGAACAGCAAATTCAACTCGATGCCGTTATTGGAACATTTGCCGACGTCTTCTATTCTGAAGATGACAACATTGGATTGTGTCCATACGTGGAATTCACAGTAGATTTACAACACGACAAACCCCTTAGGTGCCGACCGTACCGCCTCACGGAGCCCGATCGCCAGTTTATGAAGACTCAGATTCAAAAATGGATAAAACAAGGAATTTGTCGCCCTTCCCAATCACCTTACGCAGCGCCTGCCTTCATTGTGGAACAGCCCTTTCATGAAAGTACCCCAAGAAGAATTGTTGTAGATTTTTCACGCACGATTAACAGTATCACCAAGATCGACCCTCACCCGATCGACCGAATGGAAGATGTTATTAAACGCACAGTAGGTAAACTCTACAATTCAAAGATAGACGTCAAGTCTGCATTTAACACAATTCGCATAAAAGAAAGTGATATTTACAAAACTGGTTTTGTTACTCCCGACGGACATTTTGAATTTCTTCGCATGCCATTTGGAGTTACCAATGGACCATCAACGATGACGAGAGCCATTAAATTAGCTTATGACCATTTAGCCCAGTTTAATGTAAATACATATATTGACGACATTTCAACATCGCATAATGATTTCAGATACCACCTAAAAGTGCTTTATAAAATCCTCGAAGCAACTCGCAGTGCTGGCTTTAAGTTGACACCAGAGAAATCTCAATTTGCAGCGTCAGAAATCTCTCTTTTTGGTAGAATTCTTTCCCAACGTGGTGAACGCCCTGATCCAGGACGCACAGCAGCAGTTGAACGTTACGTAACTCTGAAATCGATTCATGAAGTTAGAAGCTTCCTTGGCTTTGCCAATCAGTTTAGAAAACATATCCGCAATTATGCTGTTATTGCAAGTTTTATTGACGATACTCCTCGTGAAGTTCAGTTAGACCTTTTAACCTTAGCCAGGGCCGAAGCCGCCAACAATGTGTACGAAACACACTTAGATAACAAAAGGAGATTTGATCTACATCGCCAACCCCATTCGTTTAAGCCTGGAGATCTCGTCTTATACGACTGGCCGAAACAACACGATCATAAACTCTCGCCAATGTTCAAAGGACCATTCAAGATTGTTCGTCCAGTCGGGGCCGTATGCTACGAGATCACATCGCTCACAGCACAAAGAAAGTTTCAGAAGGTCGTTCATGTGCAACATCTTCGTCCATATTACAAGCGAGATGCGCCAGTCCTCGAAGAAGACGTAAGCTCCGAGGAAGAAGAACCGGAAGTGGAAGTTCAGGATCAGGTAGATGATCGCTCAAAGGTACTTGACCAAAATGACCAAGAATCAAGTAGACATGACAGACGTCGCAACCGTCACCCTCCCAAAAGACTTGAACAATAACTTTTAGACCTTACGTGTTACGCTTCAATTCTAAATTTGTACCTTGTCCTTAAATTTCTCATTGAGCGGGGCCGAATGTAAGGTCTCATATTGTTTAAATTAGTGGCGGCGCTGTTGTTGCCGCAGTTCGCCATGTTGTTTTCTGTTGTTTGTTCTTATCGCCACAAGTTAAAGTTGGTAAGCATCAAATATTAAATTATTCATTAATTAGTTGCGTTATATTCGTTTATTAATTCATAACGTTGTCACTCGACGCCGATCCAAACCTTATATGGCGCAGTCGACAGTGGAAAGAACATTTCATTAACAAAATTGTTAATATTAAACTTTTAGAACTTCGTTTCAACGGTCGCCATTAACGACGAGCAAAAATCAAGAGTTTAGATTGTTCAAACGTATTAAACAAAAGATATCAATTCATAGAAGTTATAAATTCGAAGAAGTAGATTATTACTAATATCGTAAATTCTAAATTGAAAAAGAATTAATTTTAACGTTGGAATTTGCTCGCCATTACGTAGGCCTGACACTCTTCAGTCGTTTCTCGCCAAGAACGCTAAATAGATCTCGCCAAGATCGGTCGCCTATCGACACGAGCATTTGTTATAAATTCGCATTTCCGGTGAAAGTTGAAAACTTCGCTTCAGAATTATGACAACCATAAACGACGAGTTGAACTCTTTAACGTCAGAAGATATAAAACACTTTACTGTCGCCCAGTTGAAAGCCGATTTACGTTTGCGGAATCTTTCTCTTGTTGGAAGCAAAGACTGTTTAATTTCTCGCATCGTGGATGATAATATAAAAAGAAAACAGCAGGGAAATTTAGACGAACTCGCTACTCTTAGGATGCGATCGAGTGACAAAGATGACGACGCTAAAATAATTCCTGACAGCGCAGAATTATTAAAACAAATCCAACTGTTACAAAAACAAGTCGAAACCCTAAATAATCGCAACGATACGCCACAAATTCCTGCACCTACTTCGCAACTGGATCCTAATATTGCCGCAGTCCTGACTACGCTAATGGAATCTCAAAAACAGTTGATTGAGAGACAAATAAATTCGCCAAGTACTATTCAAATCACGTCAACTAATGACACGGCAAATTCCATTCCGATATTTCGTGGTGATATGATTGATAATGCGCTCGAGTGGCTAAAAGAAGTTGAAAGAATTTCAACATTGGCAAACTGGACTGATGAACTCAAATTGACTAATACTATCTCACGTCTCGCTGGATCTGCTAGAAATTGGCAATTAACTCAAGGTAACCGTTACAATAATTGGATAGAATGGAAAGTTGCCCTTACATCAAGATTTAAAAGACGTATTACTATGCAAGAATTTTTAGCTTATCAAGCTGATCGGAAACTAAAAAGGAACGAAAGCTTGGTTGATTACATATATGCCAAAGACGCTCTCTTGGAAAAAGCTCCTTTTACTATCCCACAGCCAGATCGAATTTCAATGATCATTGGTGACATCACTGAAGAAAAATGGCAGATTGCCTTAGCTACACAGAACTCTAATACTGTCGAAGAGTTAATTGACAGAGCAATGGCACTTGATGCAATTCGAAACATGCAGCACGAATATAAATCACGCCAACCTTACGGATCACGCCCATCACCGAAAATTACACCAATATCTTCAAATCCGTATAATGAACAACTTCGCAAGTATAACCCTGAAACCGATGATCTTCGCGATATCACCTGTTGGAGATGTGGAACCAGAGGTCACGCATCGTTCATGTGCAGTTTACCGCCTCCTCAAAAAGGTTCACCAATTGCTCGCCCAAAAAATTCACCGAGTTGTTTTGAAGAAATTCAGAACCGTCAAACGAACGATTCTTCTCAGCATATCAAAAACACAACTAATCCCAATAATTCATCACCACATGGCATTACAGGCCCAAAGTTTACAGATTTATGTCGCAATACTAAACGAAATTCAGCAACACGACCAGAGCCTAAAAGAGCAAATGACTCCTAGTTAATGTCTTAAATAATATTTAGCAATTCTACATTATTGATTATCAATAAAATCATATTGACTTGTTTTTATTAACTATAAAACACAATATGCAAGATTTACCTTCACACATCTGTCTGATCTTCTCTCTGTACAAATTGTGTCCCCTGCTGTCTACAAAAGTTCGAAGGAAATTCTTGAATCTGTTATAAATCTCCGTGCGGGGCCCGATCATCGAAACCCATTCTCTTACAGTGTGGCCTCTCATGTCTTCCAAATTTTCAATACTTTCAATCATCTGTATAAAAAAGTATTTACATAATTTGTAATAATAAAAGTTGCTAATAAATAAATAAAATAATCAATGATTTTGCTGAATTTTAAACAGATTTGACTTCTATTAAAATATTTTCTCTAGCTCTCAAGTTGAGATTATAATTTTGAGATAAACTGAGTATCTAACTCTTAATGAGAACAACCTTAATGCAAGAATACCTAAATTTTGTATCCTTCTAAACTATTCTCACACATGTATACAATTGTTAGTGTCCAAAAATTTAAAAATGAATTCTTTCAAAAATAAATAAAGCTTTATGAATAATTCTTGGCATGTTTTCATTTGGAGAAAATCCCTCCAACATTAGAGAAAGGTAGACTTAGTAGTTATGATATGCTGATCAAAGGTGTAAGGTCTCATTTTGTTTAAATTAGTGGCAGCGCTGTTGTTGCCGCAGTTCGCCATGTTGTTTTCTGTTGTTTGTTCTTATCGCCGCAAGTTAAAGTTGGTGTTGGTAAGCATCAAATATTAAATTATTCATTAATTAGTTGCGTTATATTCGTTTATTAATTCATAACGTTGTCACTCGACGCCGATCCAAACCTTATAAAGGGCAGCATTATTACTAACATGCAAACACCACTCTACATGCTGCATTCTAACTGCTCAGTACTACAGGAACAAGATCTTTAAACTAAGGCTTTTAAGGATGTTGAAATCCACCCAATTTTTTCTTACACCAATCAGTATTCATCCACCATTCAGTCTGTCAATATTTAAAGTTATATTGACAAGTCAAATTCTTGACTCAAACCTGAAACTGATGCCTTAAATATTAATTCTTTTTACCTCCATGTCCTCTTACTCTTATAAAATTCTGTTTGTTTCCCTGTCTACTTTGACCTTGTTCATTAATAGGACATCTTATACTGGTGTAGTTTCTGATTAGCAATTAGCAAACAGAGGAGACCTTAGTCAAAAGTCAAAACAAAATAACTTTATTTTCACCTCTACACTCTGTGTGTTTCAGACCTGCTGAAAGCTCCTCTGCAACAAGTTTACAACATGCTATAACAATTTTTTAAAACTTAAAAAAAAAATGATATGATGACAATGATATTTAAGGTAAAAATAAAATTACTTACAGTTCCATTATTGTATATTATTAATACAACAACAATACAGACATAAAGTATCCATAAAATAAAGTGTAACATAATGTTTCTTAAAATATGTCTGTAAAAAAGGATAAAATCTATTAAATAATAACAGTTTTTAAGAAATGTTAAAAAAGTGTCTTTACTCACTGGTTAAAGTTTGTTATTTTTTCTGTTCAACTTATGTTCTTATTTCCTTTTTCTGTAATATTTTCCACTGTTATATCCTCTTTAAATACTTTTATTACCCATTACATCCTCTATAAATGATATTATTCCATGAATCTCTCTTCCTAAATTATTATTAATTCTATTACCTTGTTTTTTTATATAAATACACTAGCAGAAATTGAAAGTGTTACACCCACCCAGTATTGTCAAAGACATATGAAATTGGGACAAAAAAATCTTTTTGAAGAGTATTGAATGATCAAAAATTAAATAAAGTACATACAGTGGTATGAAAATTACGGATACATTTGTTATGCAAAATTGCTATTGTGTTTAGTTTGTAAGTTGTGAACTATGTTATGGAACATGACTTTTTTCGGTCCACAGGTTGTTGGTGACCAGCTATGCCATATTGACGAGTGAGAACCCCGTACACCCAAATGTCTATCTGACTTGGAAAGAGGTCAGATAATTGGCATGTTAGAAATAAGAGCATTATATCATGAAATCACCTGAAGGACTGGCCATAGTGCAATGTCAGTACAAAGAGTGGTCACATGGTGGATGCAGGAAGGATCCAGTACTCGCAGACCTGGCACAGGTCCACACAGAAGGATGATGTCATGTGAGGATCGCCATATTTTGCGAATAGCAGCACAGATTCAAGTAGTAGTTACCGCCAGAGTCATCCCACAGACAATTGTAAACCAATTGCTTGATGCTGGACTGAGATCTTGGACCCCATACAATGTGTTCCCTTACCAGATTTCATCGCCAACAATTGCTAATGTGATGTGCTGCTAGATGTAACTGGACACATGAATGGCATACAGTTGTGTTTAGTGATGAATCCCGATTCTGTCTAGGCCAATGTGATTGTCGGCAACATGTCTGCCGGCATGTTGGAGAAAGAGCCCATCCTGCTGTGATTTCAGAATGCCACTCAGGTCCAACTCCTGTGATTTGGGTGGGGCTATAAGTTATGACAGCAGGACCAAGTTGGTGGTTGCTGAAGGCACAACGACCACCCACCAGTATGTGGACAGGGTAATCCATACAGTAGTCATATCTTTCATGAACACCATCCAAAACAGTATCTTCCAACAAGATACTGCCCATCCTCATGCTGCTGCCATCACAAGACAGGCCTTGCAAAATGTCACAATCATGAATTGGCCCACCCAGTCTCCAGATTTATCCTCTATAGATTATGTCTGGATGCCATGGGATTACGTCTCATAGCCATCCAGTGTGCACTGTACAACTGACTGCACAAGTTGTGCAAGCATGGAGAGATATACCCCAACAAGACATTCAAGCACTTATTGATTCAATGCCTGCAAAGATCCAAGAGTGTATCCACACTCAAGGTGGGCATACTTCTTACTGAAACATGTACCAAACAGCGATAAAACTTTGAGTAATTATATTTTGCATTCATTTCTTCTGGGTATGCCCCTGTACATGTTTACCAAGTTTCATGAATTTCCATCAGTGTATGTTCAAATAAATCCATTTCTTTATTGTTACTGTATTTAAATTAATTTCACATCATTCTTTATTGCAAATGCTTGGTAACTGCTGAATTTTCATAATTTCTGTTGATTGCTCTGATATATTCCTTTATCTGTACTTTAAGTTTTCTTTTTGTTTCACCTATCTAAATTCTGTATTAATAATAGACAATAATGGAACTGTAAGTAACTTTATCTTTACCTTAAATATCATTGTTTTTTAAAATTGTTATAGAATGTTGTAAACCTGCCAAAGAGGGTCCTTCAGGTCCAAAACATACAGTGTACAGGCAAAATTAAGATACAGCAATACCTTGGTTTTTGTCGATAATCTGTCCTAAAACAATCAGCAAAATCTGAAACCGACAAAAACTGAGGAAATTATTGAATCAATGTAAATCCAATTAATTCATTCTAGACATTCCAAACTACATACCAAAAACACATTTTATAGTGTTTAATACTAAAAACAATAAGAAATTAATATAAAATGAATATAAAAGACTAATGTAAAGAATAAATGAACATTTCACATGGCATTTCCCGTAATGGAGATAAAGGAAAGCAGTGGAATTGGGCGTATTCAAAATCTCAGAATCAATCGAGTGAGATGCTGCCAGAATTGATGCAACTGATAGTGTTTTCTAAAAAAAACAAATGCTGACTGCCGGGAATTTTGGGAGAGAAAAACAATAAAAATGGCAAATGATATTTAATGTAACGTAGAAGTACACAAGTTCAAAAATAAATTTAATGAGAACAGTTTAATGAAAAATGAATATTTCAAAAAAAATAGGAATGAAGATTTTTTAAATTTCTGTAGGAGTTTAAATAATTAAATATATCCTAAGATTACACTCTAACAACTAAAAAAATTATGTGCTGTCTTATGTAAATATACTAACATATTAAAATATTCTATTAATGCACTAACCGAATATTAATTTATTCAAGGTTTATTCATTAATAAATAAATTAAATTTCAAACTTGTCAATGCAAAATAAAGTCTTACGAGCGTCATGGTGGCTGCCATCTTGTTTGCTGGTGTATCCAGCACTAAAAAGATGCTTGCAGTTTTCTGGAAACTCACTGGCATCAACCAGAAGTTATCTGAGATTTTGAATACACCCATTGTTTGGCTAGATGCGCAGGGTAATGCTCACACAACAAGAAACAACACCACACTGAGCAGAAAAACACACAATTTCACAAAATTGGCAGCAAGGACATATGGGAATACTGACGAAATCTGAGTCACCCAACAAAAACCAAGACAAATTTTTCACAAAAAGAATTGACGATAACTGAAGTCAATGAAAACAGAGGTATTACTGTATTCAGTTTTGACTTTTGATTAAGTTCGCCTTTATTTGCTAATCGGAAACTACACCAATATAATAAGTCCTATTAATAAACAAGGTCCAAGTAGACAGGATATACACAGAAATTGTACCTTAAATGTTCTAGTACATTACAATGTAAGTCATCAGTAAGTAACTATACCACAAGATTTGACTACAAAATGCAACTATTTACTATTAATACTCTAAACAATATCTATCACCTCAATTTTAAATAATGTACATTTGTGATTATTGTTTGTCAAAAGCAAGACTCCAATATAAATTAAGATTTTGTGAATCAAGGCATTGAACATCAAAGTATTCAATAGTAGGTTCATAATTCCAAATGCTTGGAATGTGAGTACATTGTACACAATTTTGATGTGTATAAGATTTTACAATAGTTTCAAAAAAATAAAATATTTTACAGCATGTTATTACATAACATTCTGAGTATAGCTACAACAATTACCTCTTTATCAGCCGTGGCATCATCGGCAGCAGTTTCTGCCAGGCGCCTTCGACGGGCTGGTCTTTCTTCAAAGTCATCTGAGTCATCTATCAGAATAAAATTTAGTTTAAGATAAGGTACAAATTTAAGGAATTTGTCTTAAATCATCTACTGGAAAACAAATAGTTTAAATAATTGAAAACTATGAGGTACAAAAGATTCAAATATTCAAGCAAGAAGAAAAATATTATTCCAATACATAAGTCTTCATATAGACAGTCTAACCTTAAATTGCAACAGAGCCAAGACATGTCTAAGTTTCTGAAGTAAGTAGTGGTTTTTAATATAAACTGCGTCAACCTTACATAAATGTTAATACACATATACCATTTCTTCACTTTTATTTCAATTCTAATATCTAAACAGTAAAATTAAGGTTAATTCAAATTAAATATACATCATTACTGGAAAATACAAATAAAGCACAGTTCTCTCACAAATTCATATAAATGCATATTCCTTTTACAAATTTATAAAATTGTAAGAATATCTGTAACGTCACTCAAAAATACTGTAAAGTGGCACATGAAAAGAAGTCAAGTCAACAACTACCTATATTTGTTTTTTAATAGTCAAACTTCTTCCATTAATTACCATAAAGTAATCCTCTTCTCATTCTTCCAGTCGTGCGGCCTTCCTCTCTGTCTCGAAGTCTCATTTCTTCTTCTGCAGCCCGACGGTCACCTTCAGACATCATGCTGTATTCGGAATCATCCAGCAACTGTGGATCATAAGTGTCGAGTGCTGGAATTGGTCGATAATCCCTACGAAAAGTTAATACCAACAATTAAAATTTTTGTAACATTTAACAGTTTATGTAAAGCTGCAAGTTTTAAAATAAAGAAACACTAAAATTTGAATAAACCAGATTCTATTCCTAGTCTTATAAATTCATGCATGTGCACGTATATTATTTCCAAATCAAACACTATACATTTTTACTTACTGTTCCATATTATCACCAAAAAGTTCTTCGCCTTCTTCATCTTCATTCAAATTGACAGTATCCGCTTCACTAATTCCACCAATCAATTCAGATTCATCTTCAAAAGGTGGCAATTCACGTCCTGGACTGGAAGTCACAAAATCTCCCTGTCCCATAGATTCATTTAAATTGCTAGATGGATTTTCATCAGGTTCCTCCATTCCACCATTTATATGGTTTAAAGAATTATCTGCTTCATCCTGAAATAAGTTAAGAAGAAAATTAAATAATCCATAAAACAGCAAATATACCATTTTTAAAAACATAAGTTAAGCTAATCTACAGATTAAATGTGGTATTCAGAAATATCACTCGAGATCCACTCACCATTATCTTACATTCATTCAACTTTATGCACTGAAAACAGTATTCAGAGACAAATGAGCAGTACGAGTAACCTCAAAAGTGAGTGTGAATCAGTGAAAGTTGAGAGGAATGCAAATGAAACTCAAGGGAAACAGATGATCCCTAAAATCACACCTGCATGAAAAATTCTGTGCATTTATTTCCATATTTTGTAAGAGTTGTATTTATCATAAAATTCAAGAAAGCTGATTATGCAATTTCTAAGAATAAAAAATACAGAATACCAAAAAACATCAACAAAGTTGAAACAATATTCAAATGAGTACCTATTTTAAAATTGTTATACATTACTATTCAAAAAAAGGTAAGAAGCTAAAGGAATACCATAAGCAATGAATTCAAATTGCTGACAGTAAAATTTTAAACAAAAACATTATCCTTTGCATTAACACATTTCATTATACTTAATCAATAAAATTTTAGATACATCAATTTCAAATGATCAAAACGAAATTGGAATCAAATCTTAGCACTTTGAAGATGTTGCCCCAATATTTCTATAGGAAAATGAAATACAATATTGCCACATCATATTTATATTCTACAAAGAACAATTTTGAAATTTATCAATCTATAAAAATTAATTTTATTAACATTCATATAGAGACTTTTTACAATAAGCAGAGATAATAATATAATTTTTTATAATTTTTCCACATAAATTATAGTATAAAAACACATACAGACAACTCATGTTAATACAAATTGCTAGAAGAACAGTAATTAGTTTACTTTATCGAAAATTCATATTAGCAATTTTCAGGCTCAAGGTCGTATAATTTATGAAGTTAAAGATTAACGGATGACTGAATTATAATAAATCTCTAAATTATAATACAGTGGGTGATCAGTTAACGAACAGATCGAATAACAAACAAATTGGATAACAAACACATGATCGAATAACGAACACCCCACAGAACAAACACAAGAAGCGACATAAAATAATGTATATTGATTGGTCTTTCCTTGTCTTCGGGCAACAATTCGAAACTTTTCAGAGTGTGGGAGACGTCGACATTGACACTCAAGCCAGTATATACCGATCAGATAGTATTCCTCCAAACTTTGAAACTCTCCCTTGTAATTCTAGCCTTTTATTTTTCTGACAGAAACAATTTTTTTTATGTATTCGCAAGACTGTCAGGTAAGCACTCGTTAAGTTTTGCATCTGTTTTTCTTTTTAAAAGGTGAGAGTATAATAGCAAAGGTAGAGAGTGGACAGAAGATGTTGCTGGACAGAATGGCTTGAACAGGTCTACAGTAGGCCACAGTTCCTTCTTATTTAAGAAAAATACTGTATAATCAAGAAGACTCAAGCAGCTAAAGGAGTAACAAAAATCACATCTGAAAAATAAAGAACATCAAAGAGTTCATAATGGAACCTGAAACGAATCTGACAACAGAAGAACGCCAAAAATTCTTGAATGAAGAACACCAAGAAACTCGGCGAGATATGTTTTTTCTGAAAAAGTGGATTAACGCTGATATCTGTTATTAAAGATCCTTTGAAGAAGTGGGAGGATGTCCAAACAATGATCTTAGAATGAAATCCAAACCAGGTCGAGGTTAATAGGCTTGGGGATCTCTACAATTGCAATGCTATTAATTACTTACGAAAAATCCTGAAGAAGAGAGAAAAGCAATTGATATTAGACAGATTCTTTAACCCTTTCAAATGGAAAAAATATGATTAATAAAAACGCAAGACTGTGTATGTATGTATTTTTATTACTACATATAAATAAACGTAGTAAAAAAGTATATATTTTTTATTTTTGGGGGTCTCTAGAACAAATTAATTAAATTCCCATTAAAACCTATGGTAAATCGATAATCGGTTAACAAACAATTCAGATAGCGCGAACAAAGTCTTGGAACAGATTATGTTCATTAACCGATCATCCACTGTACTTGGAATTAATTTACTAAATAAATTCTATCAATTGTCCTATCAATTGCACTCCATTGTGCTGAATAAATAAAGCTAATAAGAAGACATGGTTTCAAACTTAGCAAAGATTACTATATGAAGTTAGACAAAATTAAATTTATTTACAAAAACAAATTAATGATCTAAATGATTTTCAATCAAACAAAATTTGAGAGAGATGATATTCTCTGTTAAACTATGGAGCAGTATATTGAAATTCTTTTTTTAAACTCTTTCTGTCCTGTGGACACTAAGAGGGCCTCTTTTAGCAAGCCCATTATGGATTCAGCTGATCCACAATGGAATGGTTGGGTGATGAGGAACGGGGCCTGACATATCCAGACTGACCATCCCCAAAAATTCCCTGGGATTTTTCAACCTGTTCGGATTCGATCCCGGGTCCCTAGATGGTAGGCTGCCACCTTGACCACTTGGCTAACCAGCCATCAGTATATTGGAGTGATTAAACAAACCAAAGCTAAAAGAAATTCATGATTTTTTTGAAGATTATTTGAAAAAGCATAAAATGGGTTTTGATGCCAAAAGAGTAAAAACTAAATTTGGCACAAAGCTGCCAAACCTGACATCATTGTATGCATCCATCAATACGCAAACTAGAACGTATTTGTGTGAGACTGCATCCATTTAAAGGGGTAGACGTCTTAAGTCTTAACTAAGAAAAAGTACTGTGTTTATTTCTAACCAAAACTCCTATTTTGTTTGTTGGTGTTCGTGACTAATCACGTAGTTATCTCAGTTTTATCATCGCGTGTAATAGCCGGTTTTTCTCAAGCGGATTGCCTGTGCAAACAGCATGACGTTCAATTGGTGACATTCACAATCGAGATCGTAGGTAAACCAAGATCAGAGTCATGGATTGTGCGCAAATGGGGTATTATGATAAATTTTTAAAAATGGAATACAAATAATCAAAGTTAAATTTAAACCTACTTACACATGAGAATGACACACACAGAGATAAAATGCTGCAATAATCGAAGGCTGGTGTTCATCTGGGAAGCACTTCTCACAGCTACTTCAGAAGCATGCAATGTTCCCACCCTCAATCTACCCAGGGTGTGGATTGCCTTGTATCAGCATCTAAAAAACAAAACGCGCCTAACATCGTATCGCCAACGCGGTAGCATTTCCACGCATGCGCCGCTAGCATCGTAAAATATAAAGATTCGAACATATCAAAAACTAGTTGTACATTCTTAACGGAATTTCCAGACACCTGGTTTGAATTTAAATATTCTGTTCCTTTGGAACATCCTGCACATTTGTTTCGTTAAAATTTGTTCTTTTCACCTGAAGACGACAGTTATACACTCGTCGAAAGTGCTTGTGTTAATACTAAAGGAACTTTATTAACGCTGAACTCAGTGAATTTGTATCCAGAAACAAGATAATATTAGTATGAAATAACAATAAAATTAGATAAAATAACAAAAAACACATTACATGCCATTATTAAATTTAGAATTATAGCCAATAGATAATACCATTGTGATATAAATGTTAAAAGTCCAAACTTTAAAAAGTGATACCCAAATTCTTGGGAGATCCAACATAGTTTTATTACAGGGTTCCAATCTCTCAATAAATAATGCCCCCCAGATAAAAGTAACTTTTTTCTCAACACATCGTATTAGAAGCAGTCTCATTCCACATTGGCACACGATTTCTCTCCACAACACTCCTAAAAAGTTCAGTAGTGCATTTGTTGTTATGGATATCATTCTGGTGTTCAGCAAGATGAATTTCCAATTTTTTTTGTCATACCACAATGTAAAAAATGTTTGCATTGTGCTATTCAGCTATTGTAATGGAACAAAATAAACTCCAGATTTTTCTAGTGTGAATGATACAACTCTGCAGTTTCAGGGAAGTCTGCATAAAATTATTTGAGGTTTAATTAGAAGAATAAGCCCAAATTTTTGATAATTTACAGTTCAGTTTAACAAATTCTGGTAAAATTTTTGTTTGCTTTATTGAACAAGAATTAACATTGTGACAATGGCATTTTGCCAGGGCAATAGTAAAATTCACTTTATAGGTGTTCATTTTAAGGAGAGTCGAAGTGTCATGCAAAGAGAATCATTGTATTTTCCATCAAATCATAAGTCATAAGAATCTTATTCAAGAGAATAATACTGCTTCATTGCTTTTATTAAAAGTGATGTATAATAAAGTTTAAGTTAAATTTGACACAGTTATTACATATAACCAAATATCTTACTCAGCTCCTTAAATAATAAATAATCCAATACTCGATGCTGAGAAAACGTTTTTTAAAAAACATTAATGTTTTCGACCTAATATGATAGGCCACCTTCAGATGCAAGTATTCTCAAACGTATTTAACTTAATATTTAAACGTCAAACGTTCAAATACTTTTACATTTACAGTAGAACCCCTCTAGTCTGCCCTCGACTAGTCCGTCGCTCCGATTAATCCAACCATAGTCGGAGTCGAAAAACTTGTCCCGAAACGTTGGTGACTCACCGCCCATCGCATTCTTCTGTATTCATTACAGTATGTTTTACATTGTGTGTACGTGTACAGTTTTGTATGTTTTTTCAACATGTCAGGAGTGAAACGTAAACATGTTACTCTTTCATTAAATGAAAAATTAGCAGTGCTAGACTGGACAAAAAACTGCCAAGGAACTCAATGTAGTCATTATGACAATAAAAGATTGGAGAAAAAATTGGAAAGACATTGAATCATATACAGTGACAATAGATAACGAAAACGCTCTTAAGAATCAGAAAACATTGAGAAAGCCTAAACTTGAACTGCTTGACAACACATTGTGGATGTAGTTCTGCCAAGAAAGAAGGAAGAGAACCCTGATATCTGGGCCCATTATAAAAGAAAAGGTAATAGCTTTGCACAAAAAAGTAGATTTCTTTATTCCTGTCACCGATTCCCTTGAATAGAATCAATAATAACAAAGATGATCTTAGATTAAAATTAGAGCAAAAAAGTTCCTTGAATGTGCACTTCTTGGACATTAATATCAAGTTCATGGGAGATCATTTGTCCACCAGCGTATATATTAAACCTACTCACACCCCGCTATATATACCAGCACAGTCCATGGATCCATATCGACATAAAATGGCCGCATTTCAAAAGAAGAGCTTATTTGTATTGTGATAGAATCGGTGACAGGAATAAAGAAATTGATAGAATATTGCCAAACCCTAGGTTACAAGAAAAGCACCATTGTAGGCTTACTCAAAAAATATGAAAGGAACAAAGAGAGAAAAAGCTTAAATACCGCTCCCAATAGACGCTTGAAGTTTACATATAACAGTAATTTGAACAGTATTATGAAAGAAGTCGCTAATAGGAAACAAGCAAGAATGGTTTTAAAAAGAGCCCCAAATTTATATAAGATATTGAGGAATGATAAGGATAGAATAAAAACAGAAGAAAAACCAGGTGTCTATAAAGTTCCTTATGAGAACATCCAACTAGATGTTAAGAAAGACTACATCGGCGTCACCAACAGGAGCTTAGGAGTAAGACTAAAAGAACATCGTTATAACGTAAAAAAAGGATCCAATGCCACAGTTTTGTCGCAAATGTCGCAAGTCCAAGGTTCGGTGGTGAAATGGGACGAGGCAACAATTATAAAACCAGTGTCTTCCCCCACTTTATCAATGACGGCGGAGAAGATTGAAATATATAGGAGTAGGCTACGTGAGGGATGTTTAAATGCGAGAGATGCTGAGAGCCTGTCGTCGGCGTGGAAATACATGATTAAAAAGTTCACTGAAAACTCAAGCTAAAATTAGTTTATTGGAAGATTTATTATATTTTTTATTTTTTAGTTTATTTTGTGTTATTTTTATATTTTCTTCCATTTCTCTTGTATATTTTTAAAAATTTTTCTTCTAAATTTTGATTTAAATATTTATATTCTATACATGGAACGTATCTGTTCCATTTTCGTTTTTCAGACCTGATGATGGCCTGTTAATCAGGTCGAAAACGTTAGTTTTTTCAATTATATTTCTCAGCAACAAATTAAGGTGTTTTATTTTCTGTGTTTACTTGCTGAGCACTTTTAATGTTACAGTTTGTAACCATATATATCGGGGATAAGGAATATGCCATAATTTTAATTACTTTGAAAGATCTCACAAAGTATGCCTCGACGTCAACAAAACCGATCTTTAACCTTAGACAAAAGACTTAAAATCTAATCGCCTTTAAAACTTAGACAAAACGTTTAAAGAGCAGATACACGATATCTACACGAATAAATTTCATAAATTTGAATGAAACATTTTCTAAAACGGAATTCATTTAATGACAAAAACAACGAAAGGAAGAATGGAAACGATTTAAATAGACAAATACTCACGGCCATGTTTATCTTGTAATTGTCAATCACCTTTTCGCGCCAAATCTACGCTGCCCGGTGAAGGAGAAAGCTTAGCAACAAATATAGCCCAATATTCGCCATATATTTGTTTCTATTCTAATTTAGTAAATGCCGAAAATTATTCATTATAGTATATAAAACGGGCGTAAAAATTGTCATCGGTTATTAACTGATAAATAAAAATGACATAAAATTTATCAATAAATTACCAAACTAAACGAACCATTTTTTTATTTGTCTTGTAGCGAATATTTCCTTTAGTTTTGAAAATGACTTCTTTCAAATCCCTAATATTTTTTTAATTCTTTAGCGAATCAAATGCCTATCAATAAAAAATTGAATTTTATCTCTATAAACTATAAACATTTTTTAAAAAGTATGAAATAAAACAAAAATGTTCTTCTATACAGTTTCGAAGTTACGAAAAATAATTTTTGTGTACTGTATTACATTCGCATTTAGTCCGCCGGATCATTAGAAGATATCCGTTTACCGTCGTAGTGAATCGAAATTTGAATCCGATCTACGAGCTATACGGGTCGGACATCGTTCGTCATTCTCCACCGCGCCGGTCGGCCCCGTTGCAAATTGTAACTTACGATGTGCCGGGTCTCGACTTATCCCGGTCAAAATTCACAACTTTCTGGACTCGAACCGAATCTTTTTAGAAATCGACATAAGATCGATTTGCTTAATATTTCTACTGCTTAATCTTTGCCTTTTTTTTCATATATTCAACCTTTTTTCGAAATTTAAATTTAAAGTCTTTGAATTTTGCCATGTTATAATGTAAATGTTCAGAAGGCCAGATGCCAGAGCTATTAAGACGGCAATGTGCCGTTTCGGGACCCGGGATCGAATTCGGACGAGTTGAAAAAACCTCGAGACTTTTTCGGAAGTGAAATATCCGGGTGAGAATCTATCTCTTTCCATCCGGTCGTCCCATTGTGGGCCTGGATTAATCCACGATGCTCTTTACTTTGTTTTGTTAAGTTATGGCAACGTAACACTTGGGCGATCTGCCTAGGGAAATGCCTTCTGGGCGGTCTTTTTAATTAAGGGAAACTGGCCCCATTTAGGCGTTACAGGCGTGGAGAAAACCTGGAAAACTCCACGTGGCCAGCCTGTCCGAGCGGAACCCACGACCAAACTCCCAGTGTTCGGGGAACGAAGACTGCTTGGCCCACTGGTGGGCCTCCTAGCCACGTAGTAATGTCTAAATAGGTGCCAGTTACCCTTACAAGACCTCCCGGAAGACATTATTCTCCACGTAACGGCCATCATATACGTCAGACTTTACCACAGGGCAATATAACCTAGAAGCTTATGCCCAACTAGCTGATACAAGACAAAACAAGAGTCAGTCAAAACTTAAAATGTGTTAAAAAAAAACTCAAACCTACACAAGAACTAAACTCTGGTTTTCTTGACTGATTATTAACTCAATACTCTAAATGTAACATTTGGCATAATCTACATCCATTTCAGCAAAATGAAATTAACAGATGCGAGCAAAGAATGGAAAAAGAACACTCTAATCCAGCGATTTCAATCTTTTTGAAGTCAGGGAACACTACACTTTGACCTATTTTTTCCATGGAACACTTTACATCAGCTTTAAAGTAGGGGTAGCAAACCTTTTCGAAATCAAGAGTGCACTCGGTCTAGTATATGACATCATTAGCATTTGCAGTTTACATTCCTATACAAAAATTATTATACGTTCTATTGATTTTTCCTTTGCAACAATTTTTAATTGTATACTTGATTTTTTCGCAGAACACTTGAAGTGGCTTCACAGAGCACCCATGTTCCGCAGACCACAGATTGAGAGCCAAGGCTCTAATCCACTCAACTTGTGATAAATTATGAGGAACTGAGTGAAATACGAATTTAGATCTGCACGACAAAATGAAGACATCTTATTGCTTGGCATCTGGTCAACATAAATATCCAAATATTGCAACTTTGTAAATAAGGACTACTCAAATGAATTTGATACAAAAATAAAACTTTTATTGTAAAAATATAGATTGATTAATAAAATTATAATTTGAAATTCTTTCTAAAACTCATCTGTGGTTACTTTACAAATCTATACATTATACCGTAATTACAAATTACGTTCCAAGAATCAGTCACCTATACATTAGGCTGAAAACATTTGTGTATAGCAAATAAATGCTTCTCAGTATCCCAAGATGATTATTGATGAATTATACATTATCTTTAATTAGCAAAATTTGTGTAAAACAAACTAATTCTGCATTTATATCTTTAATTAAATTCTTCCAATTTTGACTGCACAAAATATTCATTTCGTGTTCCCTTTCTGGAGAGAGGGCAAAATCGTCGGGTCCTGTTCCACATCCTCCGATACCTGGCAGAGCTGCGTAACCGGGATGAACCATAATTTCGCACGAGTGACTTTCTTCCGAACATTTGTAATCCAAAATGGCACTCTTAAGTCGCTGCAGTGTCATGTCCTTTCCCATGCAACACATTCCAATAAATCTCTTGGTGAAGCTAAAAAGTTAATTGCAAAATTAATGAATTTTAATGTTAAAATGAAACTATTTACTAATTTTAAACTGTTTTAACTTTTAAAATCACTAATGACATTTTTATTTTTAAAATTAATGCATTACATACACTTTATGCATTCAGTACTTCATCCACAGTATATATAGATTTTATAATGTGAAAACTCACTTTATATTGTAATTTTTAAATATTTTAGAAGATTCTTTTGCCATTATAACAACATCATTATAAAATTTTTTCCTTTCAGCATTAATCCAGTCACATTTCTCTAATTGATTATCAATTGGCATCCTGGTCCAAGTTATGTTTTCATTTTGTAAAACTTTTGCAAAAGTATCTCTAACACCTGAAATAATAGAATGAATATGATTCAATTTTAATTACAGAATTCTAACACTAATTTCTCACCTGGAAAAACGTGAACATGTTGGTGACCGTCAACGTGGGTCGGAGGTCGATCCATCAAAAGTTTAAAGTGATTTATTTGAGCTGTCAATTCTCTCGCAACCTTTTTTAGATAAAAAAATGCTTATTTCAGTTTATCAAATATCAAACAATACAAGAAAACAACAGAAATAAACATGAATAATTTGAAAACAAATTGTTGCTGTTACATACTACTGACTGATAAGAGGCATAGATGTATGGAATTATACTAATTTGTATCTTTATAAATAATTAAGAAAATCTATGCCACATCAAATCTGATAGAAATGTAACCAAGTATAAAACTCATTGGCTTTCCTTCAGAAAATGTCATACAAACCTATAAACCTCTGAGTATAACATTAACACTAGATCATCAACTATTTATTTGATATTAAACATTTTAATACAATACAGTACAATCTCAGTAATCTAACATTATATGAAAGTGGGATGGTGTTGGATTAAGGAGAATGTCAGATTATTGGAAATAAGGGGAATCCGATGAAACATAAATGAATTTGACAGCATAGAGTCAATTGTTAATGATGCAGCAAAACACAAATTGGACTGCTAATCAAAACATTTGAGTGCATTGCCATCACCAGTAATCAATGTTGCCAAGTTGGTGGATTCCCATTAAATTAAGTGAGAGGTGTATTATTTTTTATGGTAAATTTCAGGGAATGTTTATATGTTATTTTGTTATACGATATCCTACTTTTTTAAACAGCCAAAGAAACAAGCCTAATAATCTTTAAACAACTCCACAAACCAAATTTTTAATTAAAGCCAGATTATCTGCCATTTTATCAGACTATAATAAGGCTAAGTTAATAATTAGATATGAACTAATTTGTCTAGAGGAAAACAGATAAGCTACTGTCTCATAATAATTTTAATAATTATAATTATAAATATCACTTACAAAAACCAAAATGAGAGTTTGTAAAACAAAACGTTGAAGGAAAGCAAACATTTTCAATTGCCTTGAGTAACCATCTTTTAAGTTAAAAGAAAAGATTCAGAATGGAACATGAGATGGAATGTTATAACTTAAAATATAAATAGAATGATATCTGATTGGAAGTTGACAATCATGTGGTTGCATTTCAATGTAAAAAGTAATTTCCAAATCTGTTCTTTTAACGTGAAGATGGTTGCTCAAGACAATTGAAAATGTTTGTTTTCCTTCAACTTTTTGTTTTATGAACTGAAGTTTTTGATGTTTGTAAATGATATTTATAATCTACTTTCAGCATATAGTGTGTTTATTACTTAATAATTATAATAAATTAATTTTAATTTAGCAAAACAACCACTTAAAACTGAATAAACTTGATAAAAGCAGTAACAGAAACAAAAAATTAGTATAACAAGTTATGGAGCAAACATTTTCACACTTGTTAAAATGAGCATCATTAGGATAAATGACCCTGCAGCTGTTAAAACAGGGATTACCTACATGTGTCAAGATGGAGGCAATGTAAAAAAGATAAAGGGAGGGGAAGAGGATAGAAAGTTTCAAGAGAACAGACATTCTACAAACTATAAACTGTCTGCTCCATAACTTGTTCTGCTTGTTTTTGATTTTGGTCACTGCTTTTATTTTAATTTAGAATTCTAGAAGAAAAGAATCAGCCTGGAGTGAGACTCAAACCTGCAACTCTTACTGTGCAAAATGTGTTGGGAGCTATCCGAACCTCCATCCAAACTTTGCTTTAGATATTTAGATATACCATATGGGTCACTGACATTATTTAGCCTTCTTATAACCCAATAATTTGACTGATCATTTGACTTTAACAATCTGTAATATTGTGCCTAAATTCAAGAAGATTTCATCACTTATTTTTATTATTTTGCCCTCTCCTTGTATATAGTTGTATCTTATGCAGACTTAACACATCTCAGAACATTTTGTTTGATAGGTTCATATGCTGTTTCAAGCCANCCACTGTACTTGGAATTAATTTACTAAATAAATTCTATCAATTGTCCTATCAATTGCACTCCATTGTGCTGAATAAATAAAGCTAATAAGAAGACATGGTTTCAAACTTAGCAAAGATTACTATATGAAGTTAGACAAAATTAAATTTATTTACAAAAACAAATTAATGATCTAAATGATTTTCAATCAAACAAAATTTGAGAGAGATGATATTCTCTGTTAAACTATGGAGCAGTATATTGAAATTCTTTTTTTAAACTCTTTCTGCCCTGTGGACACTAAGAGGGCCTCTTTTAGCAAGCCCATTATGGATTCAGCTGATCCACAATGGAATGGTTGGGTGATGAGGAACGGGGCCTGACATATCCAGACTGACCATCCCCAAAAATTCCCTGGGATTTTTCAACCTGTTCGGATTCGATCCCGGGTCCCTAGATGGTAGGCTGCCACCTTGACCACTTGGCTAACCAGCCATCAGTATATTGGAGTGATTAAACAAACCAAAGCTAAAAGAAATTCATGATTTTTTTGAAGATTATTTGAAAAAGCATAAAATGAGTTTTGATGCCAAAAGAGTAAAAACTAAATTTGGCACAAAGCTGCCAAACCTGACATCATTGTATGCATCCATCAATACGCAAACTAGAACGTATTTGTGTGAGACTGCATCCATTTAAAGGGGTAGACGTCTTAACTTTTAACTAAGAAAAAGTACTGTGTTTATTTCTAACCAAAACTCCTATTTTGTTTGTTGGTGTTCGTGACTAATCACGTAGTTATCTCAGTTTTATCATCGCGTGTAATAGCCGGTTTTTCTCAAGCGGATTGCCTGTGCAAACAGCATGACGTTCGATTGGTGACATTCACAATCGAGATCGTAGGTAAACCAAGATCAGAGTCATGGATTGTGCGCAAATGGGGTATTATGATAAATTTTTAAAAATGGAATACAAATAATCAAAGTTAAATTTAAACCTACTTACACATGAGAATGACACACACAGAGATAAAATGCTGCAATAATCGAAGGCTGGTGTTCATCTGGGAAGCACTTCTCACGGCTACTTCAGAAGCGTGCAATGTTCCCACCCTCAATCTACCCAGGGTGTGGATTGCCTTGTATCAGCATCTAAAAAACAAAACGCGCCTAACATCGTATCGCCAACGCGGTAGCATTTCCACGCATGCGCCGCTAGCATCGTAAAATATAAAGATTCGAACATATCAAAAACTAGTTGTACATTCTTAACGGAATTTCCGGACACCTGGTTTGAATTTAAATATTCTGTTCCTTTGGAACATCCTGCACATTTGTTTCGTTAAAATTTGTTCTTTTCACCTGAAGACGACAGTTATACACTCGTCGAAAGTGCTTGTGTTAATACTAAAGGAACTTTATTAACGCTGAACTCAGTGAATTTGTATCCAGAAACGAGATAATATTAGTATGAAATAACAATAAAATTAGATAAAATAACAAAAAACACATTACATGCCATTATTAAATTTAGAATTATAGCCAATAGATAATACCATTGTGATATAAATGTTAAAAGTCCAAACTTTAAAAAAGTGATACCCAAATTCTTGGGAGATCCAACATAGTTTTATTACAGGGTTCCAATCTCTCAATAAATAATGCCCCCCAGATAAAAGTAACTTTTTTCTCAACACATCATATTAGAAGCAGTCTCATTCCACATTGGCACACGATTTCTCTCCACAACACTCCTAAAAAGTTCAGTAGTGCATTTGTTGTTATGGATATCATTCTGGTGTTCAGCAAGATGAATTTCCAATTTTTTTTGTCATACCACAATGTAAAAAATGTTTGCATTGTGCTATTCAGCTATTGTAATGGAACAAAATAAACTCCAGATTTTTCTAGTGTGAATGATACAACTCTGCAGTTTCAGGGAAGTCTGCATAAAATTATTTGAGGTTTAATTAGAAGAATAAGCCCAAATTTTTGATAATTTACAGTTCAGTTTAACAAATTCTGGTAAAATTTTTGTTTGCTTTATTGAACAAGAATTAACATTGTGACAATGGCATTTTGCCAGGGCAATAGTAAAATTCACTTTATAGGTGTTCATTTTAAGGAGAGTCGAAGTGTCATGCAAAGAGAATCATTGTATTTTCCATCAAATCATAAGTCATAAGAATCTTATTCAAGAGAATAATACTGCTTCATTGCTTTTATTAAAAGTGATGTATAATAAAGTTTAAGTTAAATTTGACACAGTTATTACATATAACCAAATATCTTACTCAGCTCCTTAAATAATAAATAATCCAATACTCGATGCTGAGAAAACGTTTTTTAAAAAACATTAATGTTTTCGACCTAATATGATAGGCCACCTTCAGATGCAAGTATTCTCAAACGTATTTAACTTAATATTTAAACGTCAAACGTTCGAATACTTTTACATTTACAGTAGAACCCCTCTAGTCTGCCCTCGACTAGTCCGCGTCACTCCGATTAATCCAACCATAGTCGGAGTCGAAAAACTTGTCCCGAAACGTTGGTGACCCACCGCCCATCGCATTCTTCTGTATTCATTACAGTATGTTTTACATTGTGTGTACGTGTACAGTTTTGTATGTTTTTTCAACATGTCAGAAGTGAAACATAAACATGTTACTCTTTCATTAAATGAAAAATTAGCAGTGCTAGAAAGACTGGACGAAAAACTGCCAAGGAACTCAATGTAGTCATTATGACAATAAAAGATTGGAGAAAAAATTGGAAAGACATTGAATCATATACAGTGACAATAGATAACGAAAACGCTCTTAAGAATCAGAAAACATTGAGAAAGCCTAAACTTGAACTGCTTGACAACACATTGTGGATGTAGTTCTGCCAAGAAAGAAGGAAGAGAACCCTGATATCTGGGCCCATTATAAAAGAAAAGGTAATAGCTTTGCACAAAAAAGTAGATTTCTTTATTCCTGTCACCGATTCCCTTGAATAGAATCAATAATAACAAAGATGATCTTAGATTAAAATTAGAGCAAAAAAGTTCCTTGAATGTGCACTTCTTGGACATTAATATCAAGTTCATGGGAGATCATTTGTCCACCAGCGTATATATTAANCGCATGCGCCGCTAGCA